GCATTCCCTTTCGATCTCAAAAGCTTCGCCTTAAATACCCTTAACTCATTTGCATTCTAAACACGTTTACTTACTAACTTATTTACATTTTGGTGAGGAAACGGAAAGTAGAACTGACAGTACAGGCTGAAATAATACATAACAGGATAGTATTTCCTCCCTCCTTCCAGCATGCCTTCATGGTGTAACGGTTAGCACACTCGGAGCGTATTCGAGAGGTTCAGGTTAGAGTCTCGGCGAGCGCAATGCTAATTTTTCACGTCTCCAGCATCTTCCCCGACGGAATTTGACGACTGGTTCCCTTAATCTCCAGTCGTCTTTAAAAGGGGGAGTATATAAGGTATTTTCTCCCTCCCTCCAGCATGCCTTCGTGGTGTAAAGGTTAGTACAATCGGCGCATATCAGACTAGACCAGCGATTCTCAACAGTTTTTCCTCATGTGCCCTTTTCACCATTGCTAAACGATCATTCAATCCATCCTTCCCAAAGCTTGAAAAGTACATATGTGTTTGTTTAACTATGGATTATTTTTTATGCATTTTTTAAAATTAAACAAGTATAAAAAAGTGTTGATAAATACCAAAATTTGAACAAAAGTGTTTTTTTTTTATATTCATAAACCGAATCTAAATACTTAATAGGTAAAGAAAAGGTTGACTAGATTACTCCCTGAAATTGTGAAATTCCCCTTAGGGGTATTCCTCCTGATTGAGGACCCATAGTCTAAACAGAATTAGATTTTAATAGTTGACTGAATGTACAGATAATTTAATTTGTCACACTTCTCTATACTCATTTTTGTTATATAAAACTTCGGATTACCTGCCTGTTTTTTGAAAATAAAAGTTAAGACACAAATTTTAAAAAAAAAAAAAAAATTATGCTTAAAATTTGATGCTGAATTCCTGACTTCCTGAAAAATTTTACGAACAATAATTATTATGATTAAAAATGAAATTTCAAGTGGGAATGAATTAATTTATCTAAAACCCAAGTTGTCAAAATTTAACTAGATTATTCGAAACAGTGCTTTTAATTCACTGTGAAAACAGTATTTGTGATAGCGCGTACAAATGCTTACTTAATCATAATAGAATACGGTACTTTTATCTTTCTCGTTGAAATAAAAGTTCGGCTTTAATTCTCCATATTAAATTCATTGTGTGAAAAATTTTCTGCAGTGTGAAATTAGTCATAAATTATTCTCTGTATATGATGAAAATTTACGTACATTTTATACTCCTTATAATTTTGTAGAATTAAGAGAATCAGTGTGGCCAGTATTCCCTTTCATTTCCCTTTGTCGGACTTATACAAAGGCACTTCCATTCGTTGCGTAAATATAATAATAAAGTTACACATACATATATATGTTTATAATTACAATATTTTGATCGACTCTCTTACTTCAGCCGGAGCCCAAAATGAAATGTGTTCCTCTACTTAAATTTATTGTTCAATTATTTGTTATTAATTTATTTTTTATTTTATCTTTATTCATGAATCTACTTTGTGCAGCTGAAGAAGAAAGGGAAAAAATATTCATTTTAACGTAGCATATATATCGGTGTGGGTTTTCGTCAGTGTGGGTTTTTATCAACGTGGGCTTATACCTATGTGGGCTTTTATCAATGTGCGCTTTCATCGGTGTGGGTTTTTATCAACGTAGGCTTATACCTATGTGGGCTTTTATCAATGTGCGCTTTCATCGGTGTGGGTTTTTATCAACGTGGGCTTATACCTATGTGGGCTTTTATCAATGTGCGCTTTCATCGGTGTGGGTATTAGTCGAGTGGGCAATTATCCCAGTGGGGTCTTTTTTGTGGGCTTTTGTCGCGTGCGCTTTTGTGTGGTCCACCGTCGAAATAGGCCGATGCTATTCGCACCACCGGTGCGATTAGCCGCTTAAGCTATTCGCACCAACATTAACAACGCATGCGCATTGAGTTGTCAGATCCGTCAATTGAACCGCATCGAAAGGAACGGATTCTATATATGCGAACAGTTGTAGTGAATTTTTTTTTAAAAAAAAAGGCGGATTTCTACCTTGGCGTAGTTTATCATTTTTTAAGCGTTGGCGACTTTCAAAAGTTTAGAAAGGAAAATGGGTTCCTTTTCTTATAAAAAGAAGGAACACATTTCCTTTTATTAAAGTATATATAAAAAAGGTCAGATTTTTGTGTTCGCAATGTTTATCCTTTTCCTGAACGGTTTGAATAGTTTAAATGTCTGATTTGGGGGGGGAAGACAAAATCTTGTTTACATTTGTTGTACTTCTTAGAATACATTTAGCTTTAAAGATGTGTTTTGCGCAATCAAGACTTTAATTCATTCCTCTTTGAAAAATTTCGTCCGATAAAAGATACTAAAAATTAGACAGACGATTTCTGTGTAGAAAATTTAGACATGAAATAAGTTAAAAGCGATTATATCAACTTTTAAATGAATTATTCTGTATGTCTGCTTATTTTTTTTTTATGAAAATACTTGGCATTTTCAGGACACAAAAAGTGCTTCAAAGAACTTTGAAATATTAGTACAAACACATTAATCAATTAAATTGAAATAAATAATGGGATGTAATTTAAAAGACAGAAATAATTTAATGTAAGAGATTTAGATTTAAAAATTTGCACACACAAATGATTTATCAATTCTAAGGTTTTATTACATAAATAACTTTGATTTTGAAATATGGCTTTGAACCTATAAACCTATGGGGATACTGAAAACGTGATGAATATATAAGAATATTATCATTTTCAGTAAGTTTTCTTATTGAATAATAAATTCTGACAGTCCTATGCTATAAGAATAGGGTCTAAGTTTGCATGAAAATTCCTCTGTTAAATAAAAGAATTTAAGTAATTTCTGTAGCCTTTTTGTCAATAAACTAAAGATTTTTTAACTAATTACTCGTCCTCGCTTGCAATTAGAACATCATTAAATCCCTATTTTATCTAATCATTTCCTGAACATTATGATGTATATAGATTGACCTCGTCTTTGTAACTGATAATTATTACTTGCAAATTATTCTCTTGCTGTTGAACTATTAACAACATTCGCTCTCAATACCGCCTACCTTACGGAAATCGGCGTAAAATGCTGGTACCTGGGCTGATTGTGCGCATGCGCGAACGTAGGTGGTGTGAATAGCCTGTTAGCTAATCAAAATCGTAAAAAACAATCTTATATTTAGCGTAGGTATAATGAAACACTCAATCGATTTCGAGGGCAGCTAAAGGTCCCTCCTCATCAGGAGAAAGAAATACATAGAAAGAAGAAAATAGGAATCACAGAAACACGTGGTGCTTATCAGCACTGCACGTGGTTATAACTAGATTTTTAATCAGAGTTGCACTGGCCGCCTACTTTTACTGAGCCAGGCTGTCTGATCAAGCATAAAGAAATATTAGCGAAGTTAAAATAGGGAGCGAGGGGCAAATGCACATTACGCTCAAAATCTGAACTTCAAATAATGGAAAGCAACCACTGAACGGATTTTTTATACCCTCTGGTAGTACCAAGTGCGAGGAGGTAACGCTATCTATCGGCAAAAATAATTGAATTAAGATAGTAGAATTTTAAAGGCAATGAAACCGATTTTATTCCGCAATGAAACCGATTTTAGCACCACTGTGTACCGTAAACCCTTTGTAGTTTGTTTACCACCCCATGCCAAGTCATGCCACCCTGTTAAGCAAAAAATGGCTTCTTTTTTACTATTATTTTTTCCGCGCGCTAAAGTTTTGTTCCTCTGAATCTTTGCTTACCAATGAACTTAATTATTTGAGAGCAGTTACGATTGGACCGTGTATTTTCTCCCGTGATTATTGATAAAGCCGTCAAAAAATTTTCAGATTCCCCATCAAAGAAGACATTCCACTGTTAGAAATAATATCAATGACCTTGTCGTGCTTCCATTTTATCCTTCTGTTAGCTATAAAATTGCACGGATTCTCCAGAAATTCAATTTTCAAGTCGGTTTCTCCCCTATTAATAAAATTCACCCTTCGATTCTAAAAGATTGCGTTTCTGTCTTGAATTCTTGGGGAATTTATAGTATATCATGTCAGGTGGTTTAAGATATATTGGCCAAACAAAAAGAGCGTTGAAGTTTCGTATCAAGGAACATGAATCTTATGTCAAAAAGGGGAAATTAACAAGTCATCAATAGCGTATCATAGCTGGACTTTTAACCATAATTTTGATTTTGGGTCTGCAAAAATCATCCAAAAGGCTTCTTTCATAGGCGAATTGGATTTTCTTGAGGCTTTTTCACATTCACAAAGATTTAGAAAGTTTTAGTTAATGATTTGAAGTCCAATCCAGTCCTTCCTAATGCCTTTAAAATTCTACTATCTTAATTCAATTATTTTTGCCGATAGATGGCGTTACCTCCTCGCACTTGGTACTACCAGAGGGTATAAAAAATCCGTTCAGTGGTTGCTTTCCATTATTTGAAGTTCAGATTTTGAGCGTAATGTGCATTTGCCCCTCGCTCCCTATTTTAACTTCGCTAATATTTCTTTATGCTTGATCAGACAGCCTGGCTCAGTAAAAGTAGGCGGCCAATGCAACTCTGATTAAAAATCTAGTTATAACCACGTGCAGTGCTGATAAGCACCACGTGTTTTCTGTGATTCCTATTTTCTTCTTCTATGTATTTCTTTCTCCTGATGAGGAGGGACCTTTAGCTGCCCTCGAAATCGATTGAGTGTTTCATTATACCTACGCTAAATATAAGGTTGTTTTTTACGATTTTGATTGTCACATTAGCGTGTTTCTCTTCTAGTCTAGCCTGTTAGCTATTTGCACCGTCGGTGCGATTAGCCACTGCGGTCGAAATATTATCAGAGCGCTTCTGAATGTAAACAAAAACACCCTATCTGGTGACCGAAGCTTCGGAGCAGTGCTTCACTTGTAGTGCCGGTTTGGCAACTCTTTTTTTCTTACCTCCATGCTCCTGTTCAATCATTATCTTCTTTCCGACCAGCAGATGGAGCCACATGTGCCGCCTTCTTCCAGTTTTGTGTTTCGCGGAGGGTTATCTACCTTATTTCTGTGATCTTTCTTGGGAAATTCAGTTAAAGAACTCTTTCGTCATGCCCTTCGGAGACTCTCGAAGAAGCTGGAAAGAGCTTTTATAATAGCTTTATGCCAGGGTAACAACTAGTTCGATGTTCCCACGGTGGTTTAGCGAAACTTCCGACATCGGACGGTTAGACACTCTGTCAATCCGATTGATCAATTGTGTAAAATGCGTCGCGCTAAATAACGTAATTAGCAGTCAGCCAACGGATGATCATTTTGCGGAAGTAAGCGTATAGAAACGGCTAAAAGGTGTGTGTGGGCATTTAAATAGTATTTTTCAGTGTTCGTTGCTTAATTGTTTATACTTGAATAGTGCTCTGATTTGTGTAAGAACTGTGAGTGAATGAAATCGTGGCTGACTATTGATCGTGATTGAAATTCTTTTTAACATTGTGAATGTGTACTTTTGAAGGTTTTAAAAATGCCTGCTATAAAAGATATAAACATTGTGAAAATAGCTGTGGAGATGGAAGATCAGGTACCTCAGTTAATAGAATTCGATCAAAAGCGGCCATTAGCAGCCATAATTCAGGATTTATGTACAACCTGGGGTCTTACAGATGCTGATCAGTATGCATTACAGTTTTCAGATAATGCTCATAATTACATAACCGAGAAGAATAGAAATGACATAAAGAATGGAAGCGTGTTAAGGTTGACATATTCTTCGACAAAGACAGCACAAGAGATACTAGAAAAACTCAATTTTGGTACTCAAGATGAGAAAAAGACTGCATTGAGGCGACTTGCTAGATTATCTGCTGATTATACATTTGCCCTCGAATTCATCAACAAACAAGGCTCGAACTTTCTGATATCAATGATTGAAGGAGGTAATTATACAGGTGAATTAATGGCATTAACTCTTCAGTCATTTGTAGAATTGATGGATCATGGAATCGTGTCCTGGGATAATTTGCAAGATAAATTTATCGGGAGAGTAGCCAATCAAGTTAATTCACAGACTTCTACTCAAGATTCTAGATCTTTGCAAGCATCTCTTGCCATTTTAGAGTCATTAGTTTTGAATAGTTCCGGCAAGTATCCACTTGTAGAACAGGAAGTTACATTACCTTATTTAATAGTGCATTTGCAGTCTCCAATACCGGAGATACAGCAAAATGCAATTGCTTTAATCAATGCATTATTTTTGAAAGCAGATATTAATAAAAGAAAAGCAGTTGCTGCTACATTAACCTCTAAACAAATAAGAAATGTAATAATGGTACATATTATCCAAAAGCAACATGTTGGTGCTGAAATGGCTCATCAGTTATATGTTTTACAGACTCTTCTATTTAATTTATTGGAAGAAAAAATGAAGCGAAAATTAGACCCACAGGATCCTGAAGCCCGAGAAAAAATATTAGAATTAAGGAGAATAGCTTTTGATACAGATGCTGAGATTGTAAATTCAGCAGGACGTAAAGGGGGATATTCAAAAGATTATAAAAAACTTGGTTTCAAAAATCATGTAAATCCTGCTGAAGATTTTACAGAAATTCCACCAGGAATGTTAGCTTTAGACAATATGATTTATTTTGCTCGTAATCATACAGAAAATTACACAAAAGTTGTACTTGAAAACTCGTGTCGAGCTGATGAGCATGAATGTCCATTTGGAAGAACCAGTATTGAGTTAACTAAGCTTTTATGTGATATTCTTAAAATAGGTGAACCCCCTACTGAGCAAGGTAAAATTTTTTATCCTATGTTCTTCACTCATGATCATCCATTTGAAGAATTTTTTTGTATTTGTATAATCCTTCTTAATAAAACCTGGAAAGAAATGCGTGCCACTACAGAAGATTTTGCTAAAGTAGTGAGTGTTGTTAAAGAACAGATTACAAGAGCTTTAAATACAGATCCACCTCCACCAACTCTTGAAAATTTTAAGCTAAAACTTGCAACACTGACATATAATGAAATAACCAATTTGTGGCAACAGGAACGCTCTAACAGAGAAGAATGGGAATCTCAAGCCAGGCCAATTGTAGAACTGCGGGAACAAATAACTCCAGAAATTAGGAATCTTATCCAGAAACAAAGATTTCAGTATTTATGCGAAGGTACTATGTTTACAAAATACTCTAACAAAGGCCAAAGAATTAAAGATAAGTTTTGGTACTGTCGATTATCTCCTAATCATAAAGTTTTTCATTATGGTGATTGTGATGAAAATAGAGGTGTACCTGCATTAGAAGAATTACCACATAAACTACAAGTAGTTGAAGTAAAGTCACTTGTAACTGGAAAAGAATGCCCGCATATGAAAGAAGTAAAACGTACAAAGTCAACGTTATCTTTGGCATTTTCTCTGATTCCTGATTCTGATCAAGAGCCACTGAATTTTGTTGCACCAAATGACAAGGAATTTGATTATTGGACTGATGGAATAAATGCTTTGCTGGGAAATAAAATGGTTAGTAAGGAAACCAAGAATGACTTAGAAACGTTGTTGAGTATGGATATAAAATTAAGATTACTTGATACTGAAGGTGTGAATATACCAGAGAATCCTCCTAGCATTCCAAAAGATCCACCGAATTATGATTTTTGTTATGATTTTAAATGAACTTTCTCATTTGTCAGGTTTGTTTTTGTTTTAATAAGCAGGCATAGGATTTAAACAGTTTAGTAGGTAATTAAAAACCCAGTTCCATATGAAGTGAATTAGTTCCAAAGCTCAAAATTTTAATTTCTGTATGATTAAATAGTATTGACTTCTTTAAACTTTTATCTAAGAAGGGAAAAGATATTCATGTTTTAATTCTGTCTGCAGTTATGTTGAACGAACTAAATATTTTACATTATTGCTTTTTGAAATTCTTTTTAATGGCACTGACTAAGCAGTCAGCCGAATTTATTTTACAATTGATTTTTAAACAGCCCAGTTTTATTGCAACTGTGACAATATTATTCTAATTTGAACGAAATATATTATAAGTAACTTTTGATTAATGTAAATATATAGAATGTGGTATAATTTTTATCTTTAATTATCTCTGTGTTAAATAAATATCTGGGAATTTGTTTATTCAAATCTACACTCTCCCTATTATCTTATTAAGAAAGATTTTAATTTATTAAATTATTTCTTCTAAATTTGAAGCAGTGGAATTTTGCCTATTAAATCCATGGACCTTATGAGAAATAGACTAACCCAAAATGTGTTTTTCTCCCTCTTCTGACGAGTTCCCGGCTGTCACCTTGATCACATCCGGAGGAGTAGGGGACAACTTGCAGAAATTAACAGTGGTTGCCTATTCCAGTGTGTATAATTGTTTACAATTGTTGAAAAAGCTTGTTGCAGCACCTCATTTCACAAATTAGAATTTCTACATATTTTTATTTTTGAAACTGAGATTGATTTTTAATAGTTTAGCATATTTATCAAGCATAATTAGCGTTCCAAATAATTATAAAGCTACTGAATGTTTTCAGGGCTAGATATTTGTTTAGCTTTTCCTATGCTGTAAGGACATTTGTAACTACTTCTTTTAGAAAATAATATTTTAAATCTGAACGAATAGAAAATTTCAAACAAGAAATTTTCTTGCAATTTTTATGTTATTTATTGGTGTAAATAAGTAAAAAATACTAAAATATTATAAACGAATTTTTGAACGTTTTGTTTAAAATTCTGAATTGTGCTGCTTTTTGAAATTATAGATGAGTATTATAGCACAATTTCTATAAAGGAATTTTATTTCAATTATATTTCATAATACATCATAGTGATAAACAATTTTGACATCTTAAATTTTATTCATTTAATTCTAATATTAAAATTGCATTTAACCGTAATAATTAATTTTGCTTGTATTTTAAAGTGATTATTTTTTAAATTTATTTTTAGTTCTGCATAAGATTTTTTTATTTACTGTTAATTTAATTTATTAGCTATAAGCGGCCTTTTGCGCTGTTTCACTATAAATGTCTGTGTCTCCTTGCAAATTGTTGTTACCAAATATTATCGTCCTGTATTATATTTAAAGAAATTAAATAATGAAGAATTTGCATGAATACATGTATGTTTCTCGCACTGTGACAAAAACGACAGCATCTAGAGCCATCCAATTTTGAATAATGCAATCCTCCACCCGAGCTTGGGCATCTGGACGGCCGAATTTCGAATTTATTGTAATCTATTTCATATTTTGTAAAACTTTAAAGAATTTTTTATTAACAAACTCCACAAGTTCAAAGCGAGCAATCGTAACACTACGGAAAATAACATTTTCATCTCCAGTGCCGTAATTCTAAAGATATGCTGTTTTCAAATGTATGTCGTTTACGGGCGTAGAACATGATATTCAATAAATATAGGTAATGTTTGTTAAAAAAAGGTTTTTTAAATGTTAAAAAAAGGTTCCTTTTGGGCGTAATATAAAATCTGAGTGCTTCTAGATTTTATTTTATCTTTTTTTCCCCACTTCATTACACTCAGAAAATTTTATGCTCCGAATTTTATGAATTACTAAATTAAATAATCCACTTTAATGTTAATAATTTAATGATGATATAATCAAATAAATGATTGTTTTGTAATGTTATTATAGTTTTGAAAATCACTGCCTGATAATGTTCATTAAATTTTTAAAAAAATTATCAGATCTTGTTTAATTTTACCTTATTTATTTCAAAGCATCACGTACTATCAATATGATTAAATTTTACTTTATTTTGACGCAAAATTAAGTTCATAAAATTTGTGCTTAGAGTTTTTACTGTTTCACAAAAGTAAAGATGTTTGTGCAAGAATGACACGTGAAACAAATGCGCGAAATGCAGTAAAAACTGCTTTAATGAGATATATTAAATCCTATTTGAAAAAAACTGTGACTTTCATAATCTCATCACTATACAACGTATCCCATTTAATAATTAAAAACAGTTATGTGATATAAACGCCATAGGTTTCAGTGTTAAAGTAAACCAGATCGTCCCTACTCTTTCTTGCAGACATGTAGGTGATGCGCGCTCCGGTTAGTATATCTCTTATAAGGTCCATGATTAAACCACTCCAAGGCTGCCATATTGATGAATTTGGATTCAAATCCCAGACAAAGCCTGGATGTTTGTAACTATATAATATCTTATGTAGAATATGAATACTTAATATCTATTAATCTAAAATATCAAATAGGTTGATACAGTTTGTGTTAATAGGAGAGGTTTAAACCATATACTATTCTAGCCTTGTGGTTCTGTTGATCAAAATTCAGGTGGAGCTTAGGCTTAATTGGGTAACGCAGTTAAATTTAAGCAAAAAATATACGAAACATTCTTAATAAATATTGCAAGGTTGCAATAAAAAATAATTATCTTTAGGAAGGCTTTCAATCAGTTATCATTTTCTACACTTATCTGGGCTACTGGGAAAATGTTCAGTTTTTTACAGTACATTTAATGCATCAAAGTAGTGTCATAAGCATACTTAAACTTTTGTCCGTAATTAAACAGCGACATGACTGTTAATATCAAGTCCCAGAAACATTTCATCATTTTCTGTGTTACCTGATTCTTTGCTGTTTACTTTTAATGATTAGAGAATCATTCTGCCGATTAAAAGGTCATGATAACAAGCATTAAAGCAAATGGTTCGAGTCTTGTTAGTTAATACTAAATAATATTTACCAAATTTATCTGGAAAGTTTTAGCATATAATCAAGCTGTATATTCATCTTTATATCTCTTTAATTTTGTATAAGATTAAATGTGAAACCAAGCTGTTTAAAATTATTTTCATATTCTTTTCAATAATACGCAAGCTTTATTATAATAAATTACCTGTATGTTTTACACTCTATATAATTTTTTTTCTCATCAGTTTTGCAATGCTTATTTATGTAATTAGATCTTTCTTTCAGAATCAATTTGTTATATGTTTTATTACCCCCTGGAATCAATACAAGTAAAATATCAGAGATTAATATTTATTTTAATTTGGGCATAGTGTAATACTGTACATTCTGGACAGGCAGGGCTTAATTTCTAAAAGTAGAAGCGCCGGAGCCCTGTGGAAGACCTTCAGGAAACAGGAACAAGAGTAAATAAATAAATAAAATGATTATTAATAATCAATATATATTAATAATTAAAATTAAATAAGTTGTAAAGAGATAAAATTTAATAAGTGATTTTTAATATAGTTTTATTGCTAAAAATAAAATTTTCGAGATGAAATTTCTGCTGAAATTGTTGATCAAGTTACTTAAAAGAAGTGGCGGAGCCTTCTATTTAGGGTTCCGGTGCGCTCTGCCTAGAATTAGAATTAATCCCCAAAACTAAGAAGTACCGACACAATTTAAGCTCTGCTGAAAGGTTAAAAATTTGAAACTGAAGTTTAACAGCTGTAATTTCAATCAACACCTGTACTGTCTTTATCACTTATTGCAACACTTTCTAGCTGTTATGTAAAATGACATTGATAATTTCATATGTGACTCTTCATATTCCCACACAGTCTGTCAAATATCATAATTTTCATTCAGTAATTGTTAATTGTAATTTCACAGAGTTTTTCTGATGCTATCCTTAATAGATGATTTAACTGCTTATTAGTTTTATTTTATTAAGAAAATATCACATTCAGTCTGTTGGTATAGTAAATGAAAATATTAAAAAAAATTTTGCTATATACAGTTCGAAATCTATGCAGACATGTTTTAATTTATGTAAGAAAGAAATGTCAGCTATGGAATGTAGTAAAGAAATAGAATTATACCTAAGCTAAGTTGATTTATGATTTTAACTGTGTGCTTTCTATTGAATCCTTATTCATTCCACATTATTTTTTGATGGTAATATATTTGTATTTTAATTCTACAAAGTATTCTTCATAAAAATGTACCTCTAAAAATGTAATATTTCTCAATGACTGTTGGTGAATGTCAGGTTTTATTACTATGGGATTTAATAGTTTATGGACAAGATATATATTCTGAATTTCATTGTAAGTCAATTGATGCATTAGACTTACATTGTTATTACCCTAGCGGTTAGAGTTGACTTTAGGGCACCCCTTGTATTATTGCAAAGTTGTTGTTTCATTTATCGCCAAATTGTTGTATCATTTATGGGTAACCTGAGTAGTTGAATGTTATGGAAACCCTATTATGACGTAATCATTTGCATTATTCCGGGAAATTTTGATATTTTTGATATTTGGATTTGCAATTTTGTGGTGTGTGTTGCTTTTGTGTGTGGGTTTTGCTTTATGCAGTTGGCTTGTTTGAATGGCTGAATGTATTAAGGTTAATTTGAAGTTTCTCTGCGATATGGAACAAAAGGGGAAAAGTGCATTAATTGACTGGTGTGTAAATGAACGTTTATTTATAGACATTTTTCGGACAGTCCGGAACTGCGTAGTATATTTTTGACTTTTATTTTTGTGAATTTATGTGGCGACACCGATATACGGATTTTAGTTCAGATAATTTTAGGAAGTTTTTGGATGCTGTTAAGGAATTTTGCATTCCACAGACTGAAGATGAACAAATTTCTAAATAAGGTAAGTGGATATTTGCTTTGTGTAGTGCTTAAATAGGTTTTCCTTTTTTATGTTATTTTATTGTTTGGTTTAAAATGTAGTTTATTGAGATTATGCATTTTTTATTTGCCTCTACTGTAGAATTGGGTGCTTTCATGTGAAAATATACCAATGTGTATATGGACAAACTCGGAGTTCGTAAGGCAAAGTTTGTGCAATTCTCTGATTTTTTTAAAAATGAAAATAGGTCGATGTGTACATGGATAAAGTCAAGGGAGTGTGCAATGCCATTTTTGTGCAATTATGGGATTTTTTTTTTTAACAAAATAGGTCGATGTGTACATGGATACTGAGTTTGTGCAATTCTTTGTCTTGTTATTTTGGCTACACAAGCCAAAGAATTGCACAAACTCGGTATCTATGTACCGCCAAAAATTGCCAAGTTTCGCCAAGGGGTACCCTAAAATATACTTTTACCCTACTAGCTACCATCAGAAGTGGACTTGCGGGTTAGTACAAGACGCAGTTATAACGAGCTATCTTCATCTGGTAAGGGGTCACCAGATAATAATTTTTTAAATATTAAACATACCGTTTATTTTAAAAGGAAAGCTCACTTTGTCATAACTCTCAGTGTAGGTTTTGACAGAAGAGATGTTATATCAAGTGGTTCATTATGTCAGATAAAAGATAATTTTCTAAGACTAGTAGAGACATTTTATGAGAAAATGATCTTCAATCAAGGAATTCTCACTTTTAATTTTTCATTCCAAATTTTGATAATTGCTCCTTCCTAACTGATTCTGGTCTTTAATTTTTCAATGCAAAATTTAAATAAAATGCCCTTCAGTGTTTTTACTCTCTGTCACTGTAGAAGGTGGTACCTAGAATTTAATTTTTGGATGTGGAATAACAATCATGATGTCAAAACTACTATTATGCAGTTTTTCCTATTTGTAATTTTGCAATTTAAATATTGAGTCTAATTCAAGAATCGTAAATCTGCAATTATAAAGTTATTTAAAAACATAAATGACATTTAGTGTGTTATTAATGATTAAAGTCGAATAAAATGCCTATCAACAATA